CTTTAAGTCTGTGATGCATGCACGCATCACACTAACAGCAGCATCAGCATCTCCTTGTACATTGGGACTGAATGCTAAATAAAGTTGCGTATCATCCGCGTAACAGTGGACTTGAGGAAGATGTCGCTGTACGATATCGAAGAGCTTGCTCGTATAAATGCTAAACAGCACAGGCCCAAGACAGGTCCCCTGAGGTACCCCTTGACGCAGAGGAAAATTAGAGGAGAGACCCCCCTTCACCAACACACGCTGCGTTCTCTCCACGAGGTATGATGTAAACTAATCAAGAGCCTTTCCGCTGACACCAAACTTTGTCTTCCGCCTCTGTAGCAGAATGTCGTGTTTGACCGTGTCAAAAGCTGCACTAAGGTCTAACAGGACCAACAGTGTCACTTTCTGCGCCTCCATGTTTAACAGAATATCGCTTCTAACCTTGAGTAACGCCGATTCTACACTGTAATGTTGCTTATACGCAGATTGGAGACCCATATGTAGATCATTATCTTTGATATGATTTGTTAACTGCTCGACCGCAGTTCTCTCAGATAGTTTGGAAACATAGCAGAGATTACTAACAGGACGAAAATTTTCATATGCAATGTCAAGGCCATGTTTCTTTAAGACCGGTATAACAAGAGCCGCCTTCCATTCAACGGGGAACAAACCTGAACAAACCAAACAGCCGAACTTCCTTCACAAACGGTCCGCCATTGTTGACAGGCAGAGTAGTGCCCATGCCCGTTTCAACGCCCTCCCTCCTCCCGCCCTGCAACTAGCTTCCAGACCTAGCGCGTTCATCGATCGCAAGCTGATCGAGATCAATCTTCTCCTGAGTGCTTCTAGCGTTCCCTTTTATATGCAAATCGCTAAGACCTAAATACTTTTGATTGCGATGGCTACTTTTGTCAACTTAAACATCGCGCTTGATATCAAAAACAAATGACTAGACATTCGAAACAAATGACTAGACATAGAACACAAGGGTCTTGGTGTAATGAAAATCAACTTGATGTATAAAAAGTACTGCTTGATCATGAAAAAATGCAACTTGAAGTTTTGTCACGTTTGGRCTAGCATAGTGAATAGAATACTTCCCGTGTCATTAAATATTTTTAGGTCAATCACAATAATGAAATTAATCAAACCGAAAGTTCCGTCACAGCCAAATGAAAACGAAATACCCACATAAGGAAAGAAAAATGAACAGTTTATTTTCTATGAATATTTGTTTGAGTCGTGTATTTTACGAGTGAGGAAATCTAATCTTTTAAAATCAATGTTAATATGATAAAAGCTATGCTACACCCTTAGTGGTGCCTACCACGTGACCACGTGTCCAAACCACGTGACATATTTTGCCTCACGTGACGCCTTANCTCCTGCTTCACCACACATGTCCGGAGTCTGGGAAAGACTGGTGCAGATTACAAAGAAACACATGAAGGCTGTAGTCGGCGATGGATTGCTGAATGATCTTGAGCTAAGAACACTACTTGCTGAAGTAGAGTCAATTGTTAACAACCGCCCTTTAACAGCTRTATCGGATGATCCTAAGGATTTTACAGCATTAACACCAAACCACTTCCTCATGCAGCGAACTGCCCAGCTCCCACCTGGAGTCTTTGTAAAGGAAGACAAGTTCTCTWGAAGACGATGGAGAAAGGTTCAATATCTCGTGAACCCGTACTGGCAGCTCTGGATTAAAGAGTATCTCCCTAATTTACAGAGAAGATCTAAATGGCTAACGTCAAGGCAAGATTTGAAACCAGGAGATTTAGTCCTTGTGGCCGATGATAATATCGCACGTAACAGATGGCCTCTGGCTAGAGTGACCGAAGTCTTTACAGGAAGAGATGGCCKTGTACGCTCGGCAAATGTCAAGACAGCGCAAGGAACTCTACAGCGCCCAATTGTGAAACTGTGCTTATTGGAGGAGCATGATGCAAGTTCAGATGATTAATCAGGAAGATTACACAGAGAACATTATAAACGTTGAATTATTGTTGTTATAAGGACACTCCAAGACATAGGACAAACGCGCATGTGTAGAGCCCGTTTGTGGGGCCGCGATGTCGTGTCTTCGTTGYAATTTTCGCGCGCTTTATAATGTATGCGGATATCATGTATGCAAATTGTGTTGTAAGAGCGCCTCGTGGGACGAGACGGGCTAGGATACCACGAATTTTTTAGTTATATATTTTTTCTATTCTTTCCTTGGAATAAAGTTGATTACTGTAACCACAACCACAGAGTTAATAATGTGGTGTAAGGAAAGAAATCTATCACTGATCGTCTCTCACATCCCTGGGAAGCYTAATGTAGAAGCTGACAGGGCAAGCAGACATGACTTCCATGATGACATAGAGTGGTCACTTGACAAGTGTGTTKTTGACAAATTAGTTGGTTTGTGGGGTAAGCCAGACATTGACTTGTTTGCTACAAGGTTGAATGCTAAGCTGCCTTGCTATGTCTCATTGAAAGCAGACCCTGGTGCATTGGCTACTGATGCATTCACAATCAGCTGGTCTGACTATAATTTAATTTACTGTTTCCCACTTTTCAGTATGATTGGGAGAGTTCTGCAAAACATTGCCCAGAGCCAGGTCAGAGCCATCATTGTACTCCCAGACTGGCCAATTTTGGTATCCTCAGATGCTCAAACTGCTGCTCTCTACTCCAGTCAAGATAAAGCTACAGAAATCAACCCTAACACTGCCAGACGACAAGA